TCAACAAATACAAAAAAGTATTGAAAATGAATATTAAGAAATGAATAGTTATTAGTAAGAAATGAGAACAAAGTGTAACATAAAAAAATGAGTGAATTGAAACAAAGCTGATGTTTTGAGAAATTTAATTAAAAAGGGTTAAGATACAGACATTATCCTATCTAATAATAGACAAACAGGGTAATTGACCGTACCTTTGCTATGCTTCCCATTGGCTAATCAGTGAGATATGCAAAGTAACCGCCAACAAAGATGGTGGTTACTTTGCATATGTAGGCACAAAGTGGCAGAGCGAAGATGAAGGCAGCTCTGGCCGGAGCAGTGAAGGCTTTGAAGGCGGCTCCGGCCAGAGCAGTGATCAAAGCGGCTCCGGCCGAAACTGCGATCAAAGGGACTCCGGCCGGAGCAACAAAGTCCTGGGTTGCTCTGGCCGGAGCAGTGAAGGCTTTGAAGGCGGTTCCGGCCAGAGCTGTGATCAAAGCGGCTCCAGCCGAAACTGCGATCAAAGAGACTCTGGCTGGAGCAACAAAGGCCTGGGTCCCTGGTGCCGAAGGAAAACCGGTGCAGGCAGCCAGGGGAAGGGAAGGAATGATATTTTAAGACTATAAAAGGGAGAAGGAATGATATTTTAAGACGATAAAAGGGAGAAGGAATGATAGGGATGCTGAATTGCGAGTTAAAGCTGAATCACATGCTCCTCAGTCATGCTTCCAGCCAGTGAGCATGGTGACCAGCATGATTATCTCTCTGATGATCAGTGACTTTGAGCATTTTTTCATGTCCTTTGGCCATCTGTATGTCCCCTTTGGAGACGTGTCGTAATAATAATAAATAATAATAATAATAAATACATAAATAAATACATTAATAAACATTATGACAGATAGTAATGACTTCTTCTTTCACACACACACAAAAAAAAATGTAGAAAAGGAGTTAGATTATCTAAGAACCTTTAACCCATAGAAATACTTTAAACTTAATTTAACATTCAGTGGAAGCTCTTCCTTTGCAG